AAACATGACCAAACTTTGATAGATCCCTGTTCTTTAAATAAAACAGGGCACACACTGACACCTGATAGTCCTCTCAATTATTAAAAACACCTCTGAACAGATGGACTCTAATTTCACCTTCACATTAACAGCTAATCCTAGAGGTTCACATACTTTTGCCGCCCACAGATATGTAATATTGGATCACTTTTCCTGAAAAAATAAATGACAAAGTATATATTTTCATCTCATTTGTTTGATTGGGTTGTCTTTGTCAACTTTCAGGACTTGCATGAAAATCTGATGATTTTTTTGGGTTATATTTATGCAGAAATATAGACGATTCTAAAAACTTTCAAGCAGCATTGTGTGTATATATATATATATATATCAGGGCTGTACGTTACTTTTTTTTTCACATAGCACTGGTGCTACAGAGGTTGAAAGTTTTGTAGCACAGGCCAAAATAATGTAGCTGGTTAAGGCAGAATACTTTTGGCCATGAGGTTGCAGGTTCGCACACTTGCAAAATTATACATACATACATACAGGGCACAAACTAACTTTTTGCCACACCTGCCAATGGCTGGTGACGTGATAAAATTAACCGGCCAAAATTGTTTTTTTCCGGCCATGAAACTCTTTTTGCAAAAACAGGCAGTCATTACTACTACAACGACTAAACATATATACAATGTTTTTAATTTGTCCTTTACTTTAATTACAAGAAAAAAAACAACAAACAGATTTATTGATTTATATATTTTTTGTCCCTAAAAAAACCGTTGAGATTCTTGTTTGGCAAACGGAGCAGGCCATCGTGTTACTCCTGTTTCACACATACTCAGTTTGCAGTGCGTATGTGGTGCATATTTTTTTTCCACATCCATGTTAACAGATTAGAGCAGGGCTATATAATTAGCTTCATTTGAGGGCCGAATTATCAAACTGAAAATTTGAAGGGGGCCAAGGGTGTGGGGGCTATCCCGATCTCTTTCTGGGGGGAGCTATAAAATTTGAAATTAAATTGAAATCGGAAACATTAATGCTGTCTGTCAATCGATTAAAAAATAATAATTAATTATATTTTTCTGTAATTATTCATGATTAATTGCATATTTATAGTCACAATTTCACATTGAACCTCCAAATTAATGTAGAAACAACATAAAGATAGTATATTTTAAATATGTTTAAATGGCATCTTTTTACTAAGTAGTATATTATTAATGAAGTATTGATACCAGTACTGCTACTGGTGTCTCTATTAAATACATTTTCCCTCAATTTTACCTATTAATTATAGCCATTCAACATTACAGTATAATTGAAAGCCATTTCTGTCAGGACCACTATCGTCAAAGATGATTGACATACAGTTTGGATTGGCGGTATGGTTCTGGGCAAGAACTCCCTGCGCATCCATGTAGCCTAGTATGGATGAGAGCATGGAGAGCAGCGATAACCCCCCCCAGGGTAAAAAGAACAGAACCTACATAAATGTATTGCAGATATAGTTATATATATTTTATGTACACATTTTAGAATTAGTCTGATTCAAAGGATAATAAGAAGGCTGAATCCTGACTGACAGAGGAGGAGCTGGGGATGGAGGAGGGTAATT